ACCATCCTAGCTAGTCTAGGCCTAGAGTAGGATAAGGCTAGCGCGACATGCGGACGTTGGTACGTGTTGGTTAGTCTACAAACGTCGCCTAAAGTAATTGATTTTACCCGGCAGAACAAAAGAAGGAAACTACGCTTTTCAGTCGCCTTAGGCCTGGTTTTTTGACAAACAATGACCTTTTAGAGGTCAAATTGCTGTCAAGAATATGAATTGGCTGCTTCGCAGCAATTAACAAATAGTGCACTAGCACTACAGTATCTCGGTTGGCGTAACAGTTTTCTTAAAGTATTGTTATAACATATTAGTGTGTTCATAGATGAAAGTCCATACATAAACCAAAGCGTAGAACAATAAAAACTCATACAGAAAGAACGAAATAATACACATTTGACTTCATCACTGCACATGCACTGCACAAATTTTCTACAGAGTACATTTCCACGTACACTCAGTGATCTAACTTGTCTTTTGATATCAAGCTCATCATTGAGGTCACAGCATATTATGTGACCAAGATATGACATGGATTCAACATATTTGAGGTTTTTGTTATTGAGATATGTTTTAGGCATACTACAAGACTTCATACTTTTAGGGATAAACCTCATACACACTGATTTCTTGTCAGTATATATAATATCATGCCCATTGGCGTAAATTTTACATAATTGGACAAGATGCTGCAACCCGTCCATTGACGGAGCCACCAGAACCAGGTCATTGGCACATTAAATGATTGAATTTTATTTCAGCAAATTCACATCCATATCTAGAGTTACTAAGAATAATAATAAGGTCATTGATCATATAGATATTATATAGGAAAGGAGACAAGACTCCACCTTGCCTCACTCCATTCGAAACTTTAAACACTCTTGAGGTATTAAGACCCCATCGGACTGAGAACCTCTGCTTATCATACCATTCGCGCATGATTCTAACAACAACTAAAGGACCGTCTTTCTTAATCAATTTGTCAAAAAGTGACCAGTGGTTTACATGGTCAAAAGCTTTACTCGAATCTAAAAAACAAGTATAAACTGGGCTACCATGCCGTTGATAATATTCAATAATTTGTTTAAGAACAAAAACGCACGTCTCAGTGGAGTGATTGGGCTTAAAAGCAAACTGATGATAGTCAGTTTCAAGATTATCTTTACAGAAATCGACCAGTATGAGCTCGAACAGTTTAGACAACACAGAGGCTAATGCAATTGGACGATAATTTGTTGACGTGACGTAATTTAACTTATTCTTTACAATCGGAATAAGGACAACTTCAACAAAGTCATTAACAATGTACCCATGAACAAGCATAGCGTTAAAACAGATACTTAATAAAACATTAATTTTTCCACCAGCATACTTAAGATGTTCACTATCGATGCCATCTAATCCAGGCGATTTTCCTAAATACAACTATATATACGTGTCTCTTATCCACATCTTGTGTGTTCGAATAAAGGACATAATAATACATCATGTAGCATAGCTTTCAAAGAATATACTCCTATAAATAAATAGATAAAGAAATTGTGTAATAAAATGCCTCTGGCGGTACTCGAACCAGCGACCTCTCGCTATCAAGGTGAGCGCCATCAAATGGTAATGGTAATGGTGGGATATTTGTAGTGCGCCTTCCACAATAAAATCGTCTCAAGGCGCCGAAGAAAATGTAGGAGCATAAATTATAAAAATAAAATTTTATTATATCTTAAATTAATTAGCCTATATTAATCAGAATATTTTTTTTAACATTTGTTATAAGTT